ACATAAAATTTTTAAAAAATTTAATTGTTATTAGATTTGTTTAAGTCTATTCTATTAAATAACAATAAGTTTTTGGCCAATAATTTGCTTAAAAAAAAGTGGTAGTCATTTAAAATTAGTGGCTGTCTTTAGCTTGTATGCACCGTACGAAACTTATACAACAATTGAGAAATCGATTCTTATATCCTTTATAATCAAGACATCGAAGTCTAAGCTTTACTAGAAGAGCGAAAAGACTGCTCTTTTATATGTTTAAAATAAATTAAAAAACTTTTCTAAAAGAATTTTGGTGATATCTTGATCTTGATTCAGTTATATAAGAAAACATCCGAAGAAATTAAAGTTAAGCAAAAGTTGAAATTTGGTTTGCTAAGAGGATTAGCAGATTTAGATGAAAATATACAAAAAACATTGACGGAATTTTGGAAAAATCAACAAGAACTTTCTCGTGATACGTTTACTTTACTAAAAGAACATGATTAACGTTTGTCTATTTCTACACACACCATTTCTATAACTTTTTTTAACCTTTTTGGTTCCTTTTAACTCCGTCTAATCATCCCTATACCTTTCACGGACATTTATATAAACATTTTGTATACGGCTATACTCTATCTCTAGTACCTTCGCCTCTTTCTTAGTATTATTGACATGATATATAATAAACAAATAAAAAAAAACCTATAGATATAAAAATAAACAAAAATGACGAATGAAAAAAATATTGATACTGATCTATGCTTCTAGGCCTTTACTACTAGGTAAGCACATAAAATTCTTGTAACTCAAATTTTAGTCACATATAAAATTTATACAATAACTAGAGGTAAATAAATGAATAATTAATAAGTTTATCTAGGAAATAATGATATTAATATAATAAAGTACAATACATACTTATTGGCTAATATTTTATATAAATGAAATTAGCATTGAAATTTTTTCAAAAAGCAATGATACTAAATAATTAAATAAAATAACCTACCAACTATTTATATTTTAAACAAATAAGTGAATAAATAGAAGTTTGTATTAAAATTATTTAAAAAATAATTATATCAGATTATCAGATTACAAAATAAAACAACTTACAGGCTATTTATTGTTTAAAAAATAAGTGTATAAATAATGAAATGGTTTTAAAATTATTTCAAAAGATAATTATATTAAATAACAGAAAAAGTATTTCTCATACTATCACATTTTTGGAAAGAGTTGAGATTTGGATTTTTATTCATTTTAGTTATGACCAATATACAGTACGTAATTTTTTTTCAATTATTTGATTTGGGAATTTAGGTACATTGTTTACTCAATTAGCAAGTGCCATGACGAATAATTATGACCAATATACAACCCTACATAACCAATACTTTTTTTTCAAACAACTTTGTTTTGGGAATTTAGGTACATTGTTTACTCAAATAGCAAGTGCCATAACGAATAATTACAACCTACATAACTAATACATAATTTTTTTTCAAACAATTTTGTTTTGGGAATTTAGATACATTGTTTACTCAATTAGCAAGTGCCATGACTAATAACTATAACATTTTTGGAATGGATTTAGATTTTAACAACCAATCAAAAGCGTTAAAGCGTACACACCCAAAATTGAATATAGATAGATAGATAGATAGACTAGTATATGACCTGTGCCTTTGGCACGGAAAAAACTTTATTAAAAATAAAATGGTCAAATATTTATAATTTATATATAGGTTGTGATCGGATGATCGTCTGGAAAGATAGGTCGGAATGATAAGAACATTCAGAACTAGAAACCAAACTTACGTATTTCATAATGTTAAACATTACATACTCACATAAAAAGTTAATAATCGATATTATCATTAGCGTTAACTTAGCATAATATTTTCGTTTGTTTTTTCATCCTGCAAAAAAAAAAAAGAGACAAAACATGTTACAGACATGACTTTTGTGAGAGTTATTATTTCGTTAATTAAAAGAAACCATCAAATTGAAAATCTAAATAAACTTTGAATATATCGAACCTACCTATGCCACTTCAGCAAATATTTTCGTTAGCTTATAAGTATCAGGTTGAAAATTGCAATGTTCAGCCGTTTGAAGATAATATTGAAATTGGTTTGTATTTTATTCATAATAATTCAAAATTTATTTAAAAATTACATAGCGACGAGATCTAAACAAGCATATAATGCCTGTTAAAAAGTTTTTTTAAGCGTATTATTGGTGATATTTCGGAAAAGGATATGAAAAATCTCAATCTTTTAGCGATGAGCAAGTTAGTGCTTTATCTATTTCGACAAGATTCCTTATCGCAAAAAAAAAAATCCATGTACAGAAAGAAAATATTAATCTAAAATGAAAAAGTATAATCTAAGATTAGCCATAAAAAGAGTGCAGTAAACTCTTTCTATAAAGAAAAGATTCTGGAAAAAAAAGTTCGTTATAGAAAATTACTCAATTTTATAAACACATGGCACTTTCTATACCGAACTATTATGAAATACCAAAATTTTGAGCTTATTATATCCAGAGTCAACTGTACATAAATTATTGAAGAATGTCAAAAAAAAACCAACAAAATGGCTAAACAAATAAATTAAAGCCAAATGATTAAATAGAAATAAACTAAACTAGCGTTATATTTTTAGAATGTCAAACTTCAAATGTTGTATTATTTCTGTGTTTCAACTTCAAATTATTTGTATTATTTCTATGTGTTTCAACTTCAAATTATTTGTATTAT